ATGGAGGAACATATGTGGAAAATCTGAAAAGTTCTTGTCCATGTGCAAGTTCGTTAGCAGGATTAACTTAAAACCAAGCAGTTACAATTAATGTTAAAAGAAAACCAGGGAGTAATTAATAATTGGAATAATGAGGAAAATGCAGTGCTAAGAATTAAAAAATATAAGAAACCACAAAAGGGGTGTGGTGGGGAAGTCTAAATATATATGTTTGTTGGGAAAATATTGGATTTGTATGTTTTTAAAAAGAATAAGAAACTGAAAATTTATATATATCGAGAGGCAGGAACTGGAAGTGCAAAAACACACCCTTCAGATCCACTAGAGGGAGCCTTGTTACTAATAACAAGTTGCTTCAAAACCAAGCAGCGGGAATCCATTTTAAGAGTACTTGAGTGCTGTCATATTGATAGCAATGAAACAGAAAGTAATCTTGAAGCCTGAGCTCCTATATTTAACAAAACATTTTATCAGCTGTGTAAGTATCCTCTCTGCTCAGAGTACATCCACACAGAGCATAGAACTGGGGCAACTGTTGAATTTCCTACACCTAATAAGCAATCAGTGAAGACGCTGCATATTGATAAAAACAGTAACTTTTCAGTTGACATTAAATAGCAGCTGATAAACCTTTCAATTACTTCAGACTTTCCCACTCACTATTTTAAACACAAAGTTTATCACTGGCTTTATTTTGTCAGTTTAAATCAGCAATCCAGTTCAAACCCAACAGAATGAATTCAGTCCAAAGATCTCATTCCACTCACGGAGGTGTCCCTCCGTTCAGGAAGAGAAATGATTAAATTCAATTCAGTGTATGTTATCTCTGCAATATCCCCCGAGTTAGCTTTAATCCACAGATTTGTGAATTTTTGTATCTACTGCTAGAATTACACCCAGTTCTTTATCAATTCAGGAACACACTGCCAAGGTGACCTCTGCTTCTGAAGGGAATCCTTTTGTTATCTGATGATGGCTGTAACTGACGCAAATTATTTCCTGGTTGGACAGAAGGCAACATGTTTGGAATTGTGCAAGCATCCTGCTAACCTAAGCCCATTGGCTCATCTAACTCATTATTGTCTACACTGACTGGCAGAAGCTCTTCAGAGTTTCAGACAAGAACTATTCTCAGCCCTACCTAGAGAGACAATGGATTGAACCTGGTGCCTGCAAAGTATGGGCTCAACCATAGAGTTATTTCCCTTGCTTTCTTTGAAGTAAAACCAGGGTGCAATTAAGGGACAGGTAAGGATTGTTCCTGTTTTCTAAAGCATAATGTCACAAGGTAAAGGTAAAGGGACCCTTGACCATTAGTCGTGACTGACTCTGGGGTTGCGGCGCTCATCTTGCTTTACTGGCCGAGGGAGCTGGCATACAGATGTGGCCAGCATGACTAAGCCCCTTCTGGCGAACCAGAGCAGCGCACGGAAACGCCGTTTACCTTTCCTCCAGAGCGGGACCTATTTATCTACTTGTACTTTGAGGTGCTTTCGAACTGCTAGGTTGGCAGGAGCAGGGACCGAGCAACAGGAGCTCACCCTGTCACGGGGATTCGAACCGCCGACCTTCTGATCGGCAAGCCCTAGGCTCTGTGGTTTAACCCACAGCGCCACCCGCGTCCCATAATGTCACAATGATGCTCTTTAATACCTTTGAGAGACTAAGCTGCTGTGGAGGATGACAAATGAAGAGATGAATGAATGAAGCAAGATGGCATTCCTCCGCCATCTCCCAAATCTGAGCTTGTATAATGGAGGAAAGGCTTGCAAAAAAGCATATATAGGCTAAAATGCATACAGACAGAGAAACAGAACATGACAAATTTGTGCCTCCTTTAGTTTTTAGTGAATGCGGGCTTTGCAACACTTTGTCCCTTTAGCCACTAAATGTGGCTAAAAAGCCAACGACTGCAGCCACTGACAAATCATGTTGACCCAACATGACAGTCCAATTAGAATCTCCCGCTTTAAACTTTAGCGTTGCCATAGCCAATCCAGCTCAAATATTTAAATGGATAACCCACCAAACGGGCTTAAACACTGAATAATTTCCCCATGAGTAAAACCAGTATCGTCCCAGCGCACTCTTCAGGGGTAAAGAAATCCCCACTAAAGAGTAGCAGCCAACAATGCTATTGCCCTACCACCTTGACCGCTTTCCCCTCTGGGTAAATGTGGGAACCTCAGGCCCAGCAGCCAAGTGTGGCCCTCAAGGGCCTTGGGACTCTTCCCCAGGCCAGGTCCCCTTCCCAGCCATGTTTTGCACCTTTGCTTGAGTGTTTCTGCCTGGCTGGCATGTGTCTTTGAGCTCTGTTTGTGCTTCTTGCTTGACTAGATGGAGGATAAAGAGTAACGTGTGTGGAAACTGGCCTACTGTACAAAAGGTAAGATTCACATAAATATATGTGAATCTTACATTTTGTACAGTAGGCCCATGATTGCTAATCTTCCACTGCCTTGTGGATTATCTTCTGGAGAAGAAAAGGTTAAGGAGTACAGTGGCATAGCGCAGGTTGCCAGAGCTTGTAGCAAGGCAAGTATTGTGCCCCCTCTACAGTGGAAAAAAAATCCCAAACACACAAATGTATACCCCATGCATTCCTCCATAAGGGGGGCAGGTTGGCCAGTGGAGCTGGTGTTCTGCTGTCCAAGCTATGGGTGCTTTCTGAGGTGCAGCAGTGGCTCAGCAGCTTTGAGGGCTCAGGGCTTTTGTGCCCGGGGCAACCACCCCTGTGGCCCTCCCCACGCGATGCCACTGGTGGAGTAAACCCTACACAAAATGGAGTGGAGTCTCTAAGACAATTGGATGGCATCTTGTATGCCTCCTTCCAGCAACTCCTGCAGCCAAGCTGGTGTCAAAGGGGTGCCACCTTGAATAAAACATTTGGGGGGGGGCTGTGACGTTAACATATGAGAGTGCTGGAGGTGAAATAGTTAAACAGGTTACCCAATCAGAACCCAGGGGGGTGGAGTCAGAGGGACTATAAAACCAGCTCTGGGAGGGGCAAAGGAGGAGTTGTTCGGGTTGGGTGGTTGGTTGAAGTGGGAGTGAATTGGAAAGAGTCTGTGGGTAGGCTGAGTTAGTGTAGCGATGGAATAAGCTGAGTCAGGAACAGTTAGGGGCTAGGAAGACAAGTAAATATCTGAGAGGTGGTTTAGTGAGTGAGAGCAGGTAGCGGAGGTTATAGGTCTGGATAGGCAGCCCATGATTGTAATTGACCGTGACTGTTTATGAAACCACACGCGTGTTAAATTGCAATAAATAAACAGAAGTTTATGTTCCAACTTAACCCTGACTGGACTCAGTATTTGCCAGGTAGGGCCTGGGTGGTGGCAGCAAGAAATAAAGCGGTGGCACAGGGATCAATAGACGGTGAAACGTCTGGGGACCCTGTGTGATCGCCACAGGGGCAAGTAAGCCCTGCCCTGCATAATGCACTTGACATGGTGCATGGACACCATTTGAATGGCAATGCTCATCAGCTTGGAGGGGCGGCCCTCTCAAATATTTTATTGGGGGGAATGGAGACCCCTTGGCCCCTTTGAGCAGGCTCCTATGTGCCAAACGTATTGCTCTGCTTTTCTTTGGACCGCATCCGTGAGGCTGGTGTGTGTGTGTGTGTGTGTGTGTGGGTGGGTCTTGTCATCTGGGCAGCCCAGGATCTCCATACAGACTGCCCAGGCTTGCGCCCCAGGCAGGTCACCTTGGTGTTGCTAACGCAGCGGTTTGATTTCATCCCTGGATGCGCACTCCATTGTCTCTCAAGACAGACAGATGGCAACAATGTTGCCTCTGGTCCCTCCCCTGCTGGCATGTGGCCCTGGAAGAATGCCCAGAAGGGAAAGTGCTGAGAAACATTTCTCTCCTGCCTTAGTTCATGAACAAATCTTCAACTCCCTCTGGGGTTAATGAAGGGAAGCTTGTTCATTGCCTAAGACTACCAGATCTTCCCAGCATGCTGTTCCACATTAATCCATTCAGGTGCATTTCAAACATCTGAGACACTGCTGGAAAGTGCATCCCTGATCGATTCCCCTTGGCCACGCTCAGGTGATCTGGGCGTACTTTACGGACAGCAGGTTTTATCCCTGGCTCTGCACCAGCGCATCACAGTTTGCTTGTGCAATTGGCCCCGTGTCTGTGTTTAATGGAGGGTTATCTGATAAGTGACCAGAACACAGGGGAAATGCTCCTGTGATGAGCAAATCCAAATCAAGGAGTGTCAGGATTCCCAATCTGCGATTTGCTTACCACACAAGTGCGTGTAAGCATCACTCGGGAGATGAGAACGACGGAGGCTCTTCAAATGGGGAGAGTGTCTCCCAACATCCATTAAGCACAGGAATATAAGCCTCACAAGGATCCTGTGCCAAACTGCTCTCTCGGCTGCTGTCTGCCTTGTTCTGGAGATAGCTCTGCAATCAATAGCACTCGCATTGATTTTTCCAGTGTGCTGCATTCCAGTAAAACACACATACATAGCTGAGTAAGCCATTTCCTGCTAGAAGGGCGAGTGGATGATGCCTTGGAAAAAGTGCACAGGAAGGAAATTTGCTTTTTTGGGGAGAGGGAATTTATGCTGTCAGTCCCACACTAGTTTGATATTGATGTCGTAGAAAAGCTATTGCAATATTTAAGCAGAGAGCAAACATTGCATAGAGTCTGGAGGGTCCATTTTTTAGTGGCAGAGGATTTAGAATAGGGATTGGGTGCTGAATATGGCCCCCCAGGTCTTCCTTTATTGCCCTCAGAACTCTCCTCAAGTAATCCCACCTCCTGCAGATACAAGTGAAAGAGCAGTGTGCTGACAGTCTTTCAAAGGAGTTAGAGAAGCTGCAAGGTGTGTGGATCATGGCCATGTTTCTTTTCCACTCCATGTCATTATAAAGTTATCCTGCTAATGAGAGCCCAAGCTGGGAGTTACTGTTTAGTTTTGGGGTTTTGAGAGATGTCATGAACAACAAAATAGACATTATTAGCATGGCAAGAAACAGTACCTGCACAGTACCTTTCATGGCAGGAGGGGTATAGACGCTCTGCTTCCTCTGTTTGGGAGAAGCATTCTGTGTCTAAGGATAGAAAAGAACGATGTTTCAACAAAACTAAGAGCAAAGCAATAAAGTCAGACAATAAACTAGAGACATTTCTTCCTATTTGCAGTTTTCTCATGGTACCCTGAATGCTTTTTATTTATGGCTTAGTTACTAATATTGTTTGTTGACACTGCTTATTGATCCTGTATAGACAATTATATTAGGTCTAAGCTCTTTAATTAAAAGGGTACATTTGAAGCAAAAAGTACACACACGCACACAGAGAGAGAGAGATTTTGTGGGGACTGCTCTGAAATAGGATGATAGGATGATCACCCATTCAAAGTGAGAGTGCTGCTGATCTAAAAAGCATGTTTCACTCTCAATTGACTTGGTGGTGTCAACATCACATAGTCAACTATGATAGGGTTGTGATGACATCATATATTTTTTGTGATCTCCAGTTGGCTAGGATCATTCTTCCCAGGAAAAAGAAGACCAAGTTTAAATAAATTTTATGGGCTAGACATTGTCAAACTACAGTTGTTCCACCTGTTTCTGAATGGTTAAGGAAAATAACAGATATTACTCAAAGGGGGGGGAAGAATGAAATTATATGAAGATGAAATGTGGAGCCTAAAATATATCTTGGGATTTTGAAGGGAAATGGATTCTTTTCAACTCTTGATTATGTACCACATTTTATAGTCCATTATTTATTTTTTATGTTGCAGATAATCATTAATTTTAAAAGCCTGACTACACTAGAAAAACATGCCATTGAATGATGTCAGTTTTGCAGCATTCTAAAAGGTCTGCAAAGTTCACCCTCCTGTACTCCAGCACTGTGAAATTTTAGAAGTTAGTACTATATTTAAATCTTCACTTAAAAAGCTTTACTCCATTTCCCTAGAGGATTAAATCTAGTACGTAAGAAGTATATTTTTAACATACCTAGTCTAATCAATGAAGATTCAGTAGCTATGTAAGTTGGCCTATAATATTTAAAGTGGTTCATAATAGTTTAAGGTAATGGATGGAAAGATGATATTTATGAATAAATTATTGGGTACATTCAGAGAGTGCTAATTATATTTATTGCATGATGGGATGTTGATGCTCTTCACTGAATGCTTTTAAATGTTTGGAGCTAAATCTGAAAGGGGGGGGGAATCAATAGTGTTCATTGCTATTTAAAGCAATGCTGGTTTGTCTGAATCTCCAGTGAAAATGAGAGAGATTCAGGTCATGTAGAAGGAGCACACAAAGGTGGGGGGAAAATCTCATCTCCGATTATGTTGGATATAATTTCCCTTATTTCCAAAGTTCAGATGCAAATGTAGATAGGAAGCCAAAAATGGCACCATAAGAGGGAGATATCAGAAGCCTTGAGGAAACCCCAAGGTTTGTGCAAATGTAATAAATCTATTTTCCCCCTCAGTCTAATAGGAGAGATGCTAAAAATAGCCCAATGAGGACTGGGCAGGCAGAACGGCCATAATACTGACTGATGGAGGAGGGGAATGGAAAACTGTTGGCAAGAACACTGCAAGGGAGCCCCCCATGCTGCAACATATGGTTGCAGTTCCCTCTTGCTTTAAGTCTGAGTTTACACATTTAATATGAAACAAGTGATACTGAGCTGAAAGGGACTCATAGTGTTAGAAAATACAATTAAGAGCACAGCTTTCCCACATATCTGATGGTTGCATTAAGAATTGGGGGATGCTTCACTCTTACTTCCAAAAAGGTAAAGGTAAAGGGACCCCTGACCATTAGGTCCAGTCGTGGCTGACTCTGTGGTTGCAGCGCTCATCTCACTTTATTGGCCGAGGGAGCCAACGTACAGCTAAGTCATGTGGCCAGCATGACTACGGCGCTTCTGGCGAACCAGAGCAGCGCACGGAAAAGCCGTTTACCTCCCCGCTGGAGCGGTACCTATTTATCTACTTGCACTTTGAGGTGCTTTCGAACTGCTAGGTTGACAGCAGCAGGGACCAAGCAATGGGAGCTCACCCCGTCACGGGGATTCGAACCGCCGACCTTCTGATCGGCAAGTCCAAGGCTCTGTGGTTTAACCCACAGCGCCACCCGTGTCCCTCCAAAAAGGTATGAATGTGTAATAATCCTCTGCTGACAAAGAGGCCACAGCTCCATGTTTTGCTATTCTGAGTGTGCCATGTGACTGAAAGAATGCAAGTTCAAGGCAAGAACTCATGCAGAGATGCAGCAGGCAGCCTCCTTTGAAGATAGGTATCTGCATCAGGAGTGAGTGAATGGGCCAGTCACCAGGTGAAATGAATCACTCCCAAAGGAGACTGAAGGAGCCAGTTTAAGAGCAGTGAGTGGTTAATGCTGCAATCCTATACACACTTACTTGAGAGTAAGTTCCATTGAATTTAATAGGCCTTACTTCTCATAGATTGCACTGTCAGAGACTTAACTGAGAGTAGCATTTCGGACCAACGTCTGCAATTATTTTAATTAATATACTTTCGTAGTTCTCTCTCTACACACCCGTTCATCCCTGGATGAGCATCTTCACTCCCATCATTCAGCCCTGACACTGAGGTCCAGCTCGGAGGGCCTTCTGGCAGTTCCCTCACTGCAAGAAGTGAGGTTATGGGGAACCAGGCAGAGGGCCTTCTTGGTAGTGGCACCCGCCCTGTGGAACACCCTCCCATCAGATGTCAAGGAAATAAACAACTATCTGACTTTTAGAATACATCTGAAGGCAACCCTGTTTAGGGAAGTTTTTAATGTTTGATGCTTTATCGTGTTTTTAATATTCTGTTGGGAACTGCCCAGAGTGGCTGGGGAAACCCAGCCAGATGGGTAGGGTGTAAATAATAAAATTACTACTACTATTACTACTACTACTACTACTACTACACAGTTTAGGAAGTCTTGCTCAAGTCCACTGCAGGATAATCATAAGAATAAAATAACATATTTCTGAATGTTTGTTAGACAGCCATTTATCAGCAATTTATCAATTTCTTAAAGCATAATGAACTTACATCATCTTGGGAGTTGTTGTTCGTTCTCTTCTCATCTATTTCTATAAGAAAAGAAAAATACAATTAGGAGACTGCCAAGCTCCTATTTTCTAGACATAGCCCAACATGATAAGATACTGGAATTTAATACTGACATAATCATTGTTGGCTGTGGTCTGCCAAAAGATCCTTTAGTTATACTGCTTGGGTATCTTAAAGGAGCTGTACCTCAAAAATATATTGAGATGAATACTCATTTATTAATGGCAGCCTGCCAGGAATGGGGTGGTGGGAGAGAGTGGGGAGCTGACCTTCCCAGAATAGAAAAAAAGGATACAAAACTGATAAATATAGTAAGGATCAAAGAAGGCAGTCGATAAGATAACAGGTTTGTCAAGAAATGGAGTTTATTTATAGTTGCTTACTACAGAAAAAGCCTTGAAGTGAATTATAAAAAAACTAAGAGCCAAAAGAATAACAAAAAAGTCAAAAATTACAGTAAAACCACTGCAATCAGCCACAACATAGGAAAGAAAGCCTCTTCCCCCACCCCAAATGAGTGACAAATTGGTATGAAGGTGTAGAAATGTGAGAGACCAGGGAAAAACAACAACCCACTCCTCCTTCATTGCTCGAGGCATAAGTTTCACAATGAATGAAAACTGAAATGAATGGGCCCTGTTCACGCCAAGTTTCCATTGGTTCAGAAATGAATGCAACTCTCCACCCCACCCCCTACAAATAATTATGAATGGTCATCATTGGCAATTTTCATGAAATGCTGCTTATTATATTATGCAAAATGTTTTAACCTGGAATACTCATTAAATTACAGTAAAAGTAGCCATATCTGCTACCTCAGAAGAATCCCTGACCATCACCACAACTCTTGCTCTGAGCAGATTTAGAAGCTCTCGGCGAAACAGGATACAGTATATGTGAGACCAATACTCTTTCTCTCTTACTCACTCTCTCACACACACAAACACACAGCCTTAAGTTAAAATATTCATCTCATTAAACATTGGCTCAGTAGTTTATCACACTGTCTTCTCAAATTATTGAGTGTGTCTTCTTTTGTTTTCACCTATCAAAGGAAACTTTGCCACAGAGGTGCATGTAATGAAAAAGGATTGGGCCTACAGAGCATTAGCAAGGGGTCCCTGTAAACCATAAAAGACCCTCTTATTGCAAAGGGGTAGCTAGAGGCTCATTTTCATTATTACCCCTGCGTTGAGAAGGGACTAAGAACCTCATATTTCCGCAGCTTTTTACATACTAATCCACATCTAAATCATTGGCTAATCCTTTAGGGAACTTTAATGATGAGAACAGAAGAGGAAGTATGATTAATAACAGCAAAATATACACACACAGCATTGTAATACAATAGGGAAAATGCTATCTCTCTGCCCCTTCTCCCCCGCCAGCCCCAATATTATGGCTCACAGTATTGGGTCTAAAGTCTAGCTGAGACTTGGCACATAATTTGATGGCATTGATTTATGGAGGAAACAATCACATCTCAAATTTTCTCACCCATGCTGGATTTTTTTATTTCATTTTTTTAAGGCCCCACACATAATAGAATGATTTTCCTTTCCTTTTCTCTTAATAGTTTTCAAAAATGGCTTTGATTCTGTTTCGGAACTAGGCTGGTGCCTCAAACGTAGCCTCTTTTAAATTGTTTGGAAGGAAATCTGAAAAAGTTGAATGCCCTTTTTGAACAAAAGGTTACTAAAAAAGTCCTCAAAGTACAGGCAGCAAGTTTTCAGTTGATAAGCCTGGGAGTGAGGGAGGGGAACCAAACAAATCATCATCATGAACAACAACAACAAAAGAGATAACAGTATAACCACATGGATTTCTATGCTTTTCTCTTTTTTTACATAGGCAATAATCTAAAAAAAGAGCCTTAATTAAACCATGGACATGAAAGCTGTGGCTCTCCAGGTGCTATTGGACAACACTGCCACCAACTCTACAGGGCCGAGTCCTTGGCTCCTTCAATATTTGTGGGGAGTGGGCCCAGACCCCTCAATGTTGAGGGGGTGGAGGAGGCTGAGCACGGTGTGGCTTCAGTGGTTGGATCCTTCTGAGTGGAAGAAGAAGAAGAAAGAGAAGAAGAAGAAGAAGAGGAGTTTGGATTTGATATCCCGCTTTATCACGACCCGAAGTAGTCTCAAAGCAGCTAACATTCTCCTTTCCCTTCCTCCCCCACAAAAAAACACTCTGTGAGGTGAGTGGAGCTGAGAGACTTCAGAGAAGTGTGACTAGCCCAAGGTCACCCAGCAGCTGCATGTGGAGGAGCGGAGACGCGAACCCGGTTCACCAGATTACAAGTCTACTGCTCTTAACCACTACACCACACTAGCAAGAGAGGAGGAGCTGCTGGCCACTGAAACCATGACATGCTAGGCTCCACGCTTGGCCTCCTCCTGGTGATGCAACATGTGTATGACATCACACACACACAATGCGCTCTAGGTCCCCTCAATCTTGGGCACGAGTCGGCGCCTCTGTTGGACAACAGCCCCCATCATCCCCGACAATTTGCCACGAGGGCTGAGTCTGATGGGAACTGGAGTCAAGCAATATCTGGAAGGCCACAAGTTCTCCATCCCTGATCTGAGTCAGTACCAGACCGAAGGCATCACCAGGGTCTATTAGTGAACTACTGGCTACATTCAAAAGAACCAACTGATGCCTCCTGGTCAGGGCTGGTCCCCTCATAAGGCAAGGTGAGGTGACCGCCTCAGGCAGCAGGATTACAGGAGCAGCAGAACTGGCATTGTTGGCCACCCTAGGCTCCCTTCCATCTGTCCAATTTTCCTCATCACCTTTGAAAAGAGAGAGAAGCTGGAGTTGTCTGGAGACCATTCCTCCAAAAGCTGCATTTTCCTGAATTTCTGGTGAAGGGGGATTGATTGTTAAAACACTCTGGGAATCAATTGTAGCTTTCTAAGGGACACGGGTGGCGCTGTGGGTAAAACCTCAGTGCCTAGGACTTGCCGATCGCATGGTTGGCGGTTCGAATCCCCGCGGCGGGGTGAGCTCCCGTCGTTCGGCCCCAGCTCCTGCCCACCTAGCAGTTCGAAAGCACCCTTAAGTGCAAGTAGATAAATAGGTACCGCTGTATAGTGGGAAGGTAAACGGCGTTTCCATATGCTGCTCTGGTGCCGGTTCGCCGGAGCAGCTCCGTCACGCTGGCCACATGACCCAGAAGTGTCTGCAGACAGCACTGGCTCCCGGCCTCTAGAGTGAGATGAGCGCACAACTCTAGAGTCTGTCAAGACTGGCCCGTATTTGCAGGGGTACCTTTACCTTTACTTAAGGGAAACAGAGGTCTCCTAACAACTCCCAGCACTCCTGACATGATCATACCAGGTAGGAAATTCTTACCTATCTATATTAAAAAGTCCTATAGCATTCTGCAAAAATAAGGAAGAATATTGATTTTGGTAAACAAGTCACTCTCTTCTCAACAGCATTCCGTATTTGTGGAGCTACTCTGTGCCCCTGTAGAGATATTGCTTTACCTCATGATAAGAGGGACTCAGAAGATAACAGAAGCAGTCTAGGTGCTTATCAGTCCCTGGCACCAAAGCCTTTAGGACTATTGTAACAGGAAGCTATCTGTATTGAAAATGATGTGTAAATAATCCCCTGGAATAGAGGAAGCTTGTTTCTATGGTGCTGCTCTGAATGGAGCGACGATCAGAGAAAGGATACAAGGTTCAATTATGAAATTATTGAGCGTTCTTTCAGATTTCTCCATTTGCAGAAGCACTCTGACACACCCAGAGACAATCAAAACCAATCTGTTGTTTAGAGGCTACAACACCGCAGCCTGTGGGAGAGATTTATGCCAGAGATGAATACACTGAAAGTATGAATTTCACCTGTTTTTGAACCAATGCATTGAGTCAGATGCAAAGTGCAGAACTATGAGATTGATTTTCATCACAGAAAAACAAATTAAACAAAGCAGGCTGCAATCCTATAGCCTGCAGAGGTTCAACAAAATGTCCCTGAGGCCTAATAGGAGGTGTTGTTCCTTGAAAACATCTCTCTCACACAAACAGTGACACCTCAAATAGGATACAAGATGCATGTTGTTTGGAGCATTTCCTTGTTGAAAAAGGAATTCATAATTTATAAGAAATAAATAAATACAGTGGTACCTCAGGTTAAAAACTTAATTCGTTCTGGAGGTCTGTTCACCTGAAACTGTTTTTAACCTGAGGTAACACTTTAGCTAATGGGGCCTCCTGCTGCCGCCGGTGCACGATTTCTGTTCTCATCCTGAGGTAAAGTTCTTAACCCAAGGTACTATTTCTGGGTTAGCGGAGTCTGTAACCTGAAGCGTCTGTAACCCAAGGTACCACTGTAAATAAATACATATTTCATATAGAGCAGCAGAATTTGTCCTTTTGACCCCGTGCCCCCCAAGCTGCAAGGCAGAACCATTACATATTTTAAACCTGTAGATTCTATCCGAATTTTTATCCATTCAGACGTCTCTCCCCATACACAGGGCCAACCCTACCATTAGGCTGAGTGAGGCAGTTCCTTCGGGCAGCAGCTGCTGAGGGGTGGCAGCAAAGTATTGGAAAACACAGAGGCAAAATTGTGTGTGAGGAAGGTGAGCCTGCGACCTGGATTCAGGAACTAAAGTATTTACCATCACAAAAGAATGGCCAGACTGCCCAGGTAATGCAAGCAGTGACCATTATCAGGTATCCTGGCAGACAGGATTTCTGCTGTAGACCACCTCCTTCTGTGATGTATGTATGATGTTTTGGGGTGGTGGTCTACAGGGTGGGCAATTTCAAAAGTCTATCTAAGGGCTTGCACACCATTGTTCAGGGTTCTCCTCTCTCCTGCGTGTGGTGAGTAGGGACCCTGTGGCAATATAGAATACCTCATAAGGGAAAGGGAGCAGTTTTTCTTATAGCAATACCATGATGCGCCCAGCCTAGCTTCATTTTAACACACAAAGCAGTGACCTGATCAAGTTTGCATATAAATGGTGTCAGGTTCAATCTTAGTGAAAAGACTT